CCCCTCACTGTAACACTGATATATCCCACACCCCCTCACTGTAACACCGGTATAACCCACACCCCCTCACTGTAACACTGATATAGCCCAGACCCCTCACTGTAACACCGATATACCCCACACCCCTCACTGTAACGCCGATATGCCCCACACTGTAATGCCGATATGCCCCACACCCTTCACTGTAACACCGATATACCCCACACTGCACACTGAAACACTGATATAGCCCAGACCCCTCACTGTAACACCGATATACCCCACACCCAACACTGTAACACCGATATACCCCACACCCAACACTGTAACACCGATATACCCCACATTGCACACTGAAACACTGATATTGCCCAGACCGCTCACTGTAACACCGATATACCCCACACCCAACACTGTAACACCGACATACCCCACACCCAACACTGTAACACCGACATACCCCACACCCCTCACTGTAACACCGACATACCCCACACCCCTCACGGTAACACCGATATACTCCACACCCCTCACTGTAACACAGATATACCACACACCCCTCACAGTAACACCCATATATTCCACACCCCTCACAGTAACACCCATATACCCGATACCCCTCGCTGTAACACCCATATACCCCACACCCCTCGCTGTAACACCCATATACCCCACTCCCCTCACTGTAACATCGATATACCCCACACCCCTCGCTGTAACACTGATATACCCCACAGCCCAAGCTGTATCACCAATATACCCCACACCCTTCACTGCATCACTGATATACCCCATACCCTCACTGTCACACCAATGTACCTCACACAGCCCCCTGTAACCCTGATATACCCCACACCCCTCACTGTAACACCTATGTACCCCATATCCCTCACTCAAACACTAAAATACCTCACACCCCTCACTATAACATTGCTATACCCCACACCCCTCACTGTATCACCAATATACCCCACACTCCTGACTGAAAGACCGATATACACCACAACCCTCGCTGTAACACGGATATACCTCCCACCCCTCGCTGTAACATTTTTTGAGGGAACTAAAGTCATTAAAATCAATAATCACATCATTGTCACATTGCTCTTTATGCAATTGTAATTTCTGTGAATGATTTGTTATCATTCCCTTTGTTATAGGATCAATTAAACTTCACAAGTACAGTTTCTCACTACTTCTTCGTGCCATTCAACCGATCCTCATGTCACGAATGGAAAAAAACTTGCATTTGTGTAGCATCTGACAAGACGTGAGTGTGTCCCAAAAGTTCTGCCACCAAATAAGTATTTTTGAAGAGCAGTCAGTATTGTCATGTTGGAAACACAGCAGCCAAACTTCACTCAGCAAGATCCCCCAAACTGAAGTGTGATAACAAGCAGACAATCAGTTCTAATCACCAAAGTGAGGGGTGAATACTGACAAGGACTGCAGGGAGAAATTCCATCTGCTCTTGTTCGGAATAGTACACGGGTTCTTTTATGTCCATCTTAGAGGTCAGATAGTACAGGAAGAGTGCATTTCTGAGAGTGCAGCGCACTCTCAGCACTGCACAGGAGTGTCAGCCTAGATATTTAGTTCAAGATTCTCGAATTGGTCTTGAACCCAAAATTTCTGGCTCAGAGATGAGAGTCCAACTGAGTGCAACTGCCGCCCAAACCACATTATTTCTATTGAAGTCCTTTCTTAATGGGGTTTGCACTCTGCTTAACAGCGGTTTCTTGCTAAATGTCATCTCAAATGAGAGTGTTCTAACAACTCGGCGCTGAAAATCAGCCTTGCAGAGCACATTTCTACGACAGTGTCAGACCACAGGAGCGCACAAGGGCAATGCCAAGAAAATAAAGCCAGAGCCCAAACGTAACTGTCAATGCTTGCCTCTACCAAGGCATAGGCTTCAGGCCCACACAAGACCTTTGAACTGAAGTAACCCATGAACTCAAAGCAAGAGAGGGGCCACACAAAAATGATTAGTCAATGGATGGGTGAGTTTTCTGAAGAAGGGTGCTGACCCGAAATATCAACTTTCCTGCTCCTCTGATGCTGCCTGGTCTGCTGTGTTCCACCAGCTCCACACTGTGTTATCTCTGACTCCAGCATCTGCAGTTCTTGCTATCTCTGAGGCAATGGATGGGGTGTTTTGCAACAACAGTCCCCACTTTGCAGTTGCAAAGTAGGAAAGATGAAGCAGAATCTTCCTGGCCAAGCCGAAGGAGAGGTGACTCAGACCAAAATTCCAGAGGGGAGCTTTTATTAAAAGTTGTACTGACATTGGTAACAGTCAATATCTGGCAATGTCTGGTGGCTAATTATTAATGTTACCACTGAATTAGGAGTGTACCACTTCTCCACTGTTCACACAAATATATATACACACACACAGACATCAATCTTTACAATTTAGTATCAGAAACAAGTTAGCCAAGTTTCTCAAGCAACAAACAAAGATCTAGTTTATTGCAAACAAAACTTACTCAACCAAAGATGCAAAGATTAACAATATGTTTGAACTGTTCAAATATACAACTACCCTTTTTGAAAACTAACTCTCACATATCTCACACACAAACCACCCCCACAAACTGGTGAACAAAATATACTCTGCAGAATATTATCTGAGAGGTATTTTGTACAAGTAAGGATTACACTCAAAAATGAATATTTACTGATTACCTTAAAAGATTTATCTGTAGCTCTAGTCACTTTGTACACAAGCTGTTGACACTGGAGTGTCATCCTGGATCAGTTACAGCTAACCTTACTTTGCTGGAGACAGTCAAATTCATCTCTGGGAATTCTCTACTTGTGGTGATGAGATCTTCCAATGGATTTTCAGAGAAAGAAAAAGAAGGCAGAATCTGTTGCTCCTAAGCTATGATGTTATATCTGATTCTGTGTCCCAATCTAATAGCTTTTTCTCAACTTCAGATTAGGTCCGCACCTAGTGACAAATTTAGTGACACCCTCCCCAGGATCTTATTGGCTCAGGCTGAAGACAGGCAGGTGGCTAGAGAAAGCCTCCCTGTAGTTACAGTGAGGGAAAAGGGGGGCCAGCAACATCTCCATTAATTACCCCAAACCACCAACGTCTTGACAAACAGATACCAGAGAACCACATGTCACCTGGGTGGAAATGTTCTCTTTCGACAATGATGGTCTAGCTGCTCTGACCTTTTAAGAACTGCTCAAAGAGCACCTTCAAACGGAGAAGCCCTCATAATCTCCCTCTTACATTGGCAGTGCCAAGCTATCTTCAGCGGGGGGAGGGGAAATGCGGTCATCCAGAGTGTTCTATCGGTCCTCCTATCTACAAAGCCCACCCCCCATCCCGATCTGCAATGAACAGGCTCCCCCAAGATAGTAGGATAATTGCCTATGTCTAGCATGAGCTCGCGGTTGGGCAGCCCTCAGAAACAAAGTGGGGGCACAACAAGTGGAAACAGCTCCTCTACCAGAAAACGCCAGCAGTGAGATTCGGCCTGTGAAGTCATTAATACAGGGCCTTGCTCCCAGTTCCACTGGGGAACTTATCTCAGTAGCAGGTTTAGAAATCAGCCTTAGCTCACCCTTCACACCCTTGGCTCCAATTCACAGGTTTGAGTCCCACTCCAGAGTCTTAACCAACGATTGACATTCCAGTGCAGCACCGAGGGAGTGCCGCACTCTCAGTGATCTTGCCTTTCAGCTAAGAAATTAAAGTCTGCTGAGTAAAAAAAAACTCTCTCCACAACACCAGAGGGAAATCCACAGCTTTTGCTTGAAATAGAGACCATGAGAATCGTTTCTGTCCATCTGAGATTGGCACCACACCCATAAACATCTACTCCCTCCACCAGTGACACTCAGTAGCAGCAGCGTCTGCTATCTCCAGAATGCACAGCAGAGAGCCATGAAACCTCCTTAGACACCATCTTGCAAACCCATGATCACTTCTATCTCAAAGGACAAGATGCATAGGAACTCCACCAATTGCATGTTCTCTTCCAAACCACTCACCATCCTGACTTGGACAGATATCGCTGCTCCTTTCGTGCTGCTGGGTCAAAAGGGCATTGTGGGTCAACCTACAGCACATGGACTGCAACAGTTCAAGGAGGCAGCTCACCACTGCCATCTCAAGGGCTTGACCCGTACTGATTTGACACAGCGATGCCCACATCCCTTGAATGAATAAGTAAAAGATGGAAGGTGGGGCCTGAGTTCAATGCTAGAATCAAAGGAAAGCAGTTCCAGCAAAGTGGCACTCCTTCATCAGGGCTGCACTGGAGTGTCAGCCTGGAGTATCAGCTCAAGTCTCTGAAGTATGGTATGGAACCCACATTCACCAACTGCCTCTTTCAGAGGCAAGAGTCATTCTGTCGGGTCTGAAAGATGAAAGAGGGCCAGGTGAGCTACCATGTTCCTGTATTCTGCTGCTGAAAGTGCACAGCTGATCAGACATTGCTGGTGAGTACACACTGAACACTGTGTTTCCATATATCCCTCACGGAGCACCGTGTGTACAAAGGTGTTTTAAGATGCAGGTCAGATGAATACCTGGATGATGTGACGGCTTCAGTACCATGCACTGCCCTGTATTTAAAACAGAACACGTGGAAATTCAATAATAACTCAGACACAACAGCTCGGGAGGTTTAATGGGATTGACTGAAGCAAACAAGTTCAATAAGGTTCTTGTGGTTTCCAAGCAGTGGAGTCCTAGTGGGGAAACACAGATCCGGTGTTGATAAAGATCTACGTAGCTTACAGCTACACACTTCTTATCTCTTCTTGGTGAGCTAGCATTCTACAAACCAGCCAATCAGAGAAACAGATTGGAAACTGCAGTACAAAAACAGAAGTGTCGGTCGTCTGTTGTTTGCGTGTATGTGAGAGAGGGGGTGGTCACAGATTCATGAGGCTAAACCATTTGTGATTGCTGCTTCACATCTCATTAACTGCGTAGTGAATGCAAAGTATGTACTTCAGTCAACCTCTAAGCATACTCCAAACTCAAGTGACTCGGGGCCTCAGAGTAAATGGAAGGCTTGCCGACCTGGATTGAAACACGTGCTTTGTATCATCTGCAGCCTGACACTTATTGACAATTGTATTCCTTCTTGTCAATATACCCTGTAGCCTTACTGCTAACTGTGCAAATCTCGATCTAGTTTCTCACTGTACCAGCCCCAGTCTAGCTGGACACTGGTCTGCCCCGGTCCAGTGGTTCACCAGGCTGGTCCAAGTTCAACAACAACAATACAACACTTACAGCACTTTTATTGTTGTAAAACCTCTTGAGTCACTGAATCAAAGTCATCAGATCAAAGAAACTGGCATCGAGCCTCATTACAACATCTGACTAATACCTTGGTAAAAGATATAGCTTTTAAAGAATGTCCTCAATGGAAAGGTAGACGGTTGAAACTGTTTAAGGAGGGAATTATGGAGGTTATAGTCTTGGCAGATGATGGCCTAGCCACCAATAACCAGGAGATAAAAATCAGGGGATATTCAAGTAGTAAGAACTAGAGGAGCACAGAGATCCTAGAGAGTGGTAGGTCGGAGGAGGTTAGAGAAATAGGAATCTGTGAAGCCCTAGAGGGATTTGAAAAGAATGTAGGCACAGATAAATTGGAAACCTAAGGGACCCTTAGTCCTAGACAGAATATAAGTAGCAGAGTATTACACAAGTTCAGGTTTAGGAGGGTTTACAATTTACAGAAGAGCAATGGAACAATTAATTTTCAATGGTCCATTCAAATCAGTCATCACACTGTGTGTGAAGAATGAAAGAGGGTATGCGGACACATTGGTTGTCACCATCATGACGAAGCTGACACTGAAGATTTTGTCTGCACTATGAGACTTAGCCTTTCAACTATGTTTGTTGATAAATAAAATGCCTAGTGCTTGGTTGAGTATAGAAGTGAGGTATAGTCTTCCCCTAAGTTAGCAAACCGGCCTTTACACTTCCTACAGTACAACTGTCACTGTACTTTCAAAACACTTCTATGCCTGTAAAGAACTATGAAAGGTGTTATATCAATGCAGATCCTCGTGGGGTATGACGGCTACTTCCAGGTGATCAGTGACGCTGATGTGGAATGCAGAAAGATTTTCACTTACCTTGTTCCCATTTTACAGTCCATGACACAGGGGCTGTCAAATTCAGCCAACAAGTCATCCAGCTGAATATACCACTCTCCTTCTTCATGGGTAATGCCATAGTAATGGGGTACAAAAGGAGCTAGCGAATCTGTTTTCAGTTGTTCAAAGCACATCTTCTCATTCTCACAGTACTTCTTCAGGATCCTCCCACCGTCACCGGGTTTGAAACTCCCTAAGTGACAGAAAAAACGATGCCATTGTAACATATGTGTACATAGAGTTATGGAGCCATACCGTATAAAAACAGGCCCTTTGGCCTACCATATCTATGCTGACCTACAAACACCAAATGACACTAATCTCATTTATCTTCACTTGATCCACTGCCTACCATGCCCTGGCATTTTAATCATTCATCCAGATGCTTCTTAGATGTTGTGAGAGTATTTACCTCCATCACCCTCTCAAGTAGCACGTTGCATATATCTACCATTCTCTGGGTGAAAAATATTTTCCTCAGATCCACTTAGTCTTCAGCTTAACTTTGCCATCCGAGCTTAGCCATGTCTGTCATGAGAGATTCTCACGATCTGCTCTGCATATGCCTCTTATAATCTTTTTACACCTCGATCAGATCCCCCTCAGCTTCCTCTGCTCCAAGGAAAACAAACACAACCTATCCGGTCTCTACTCATAACTAAGCCTTTTCATCCCATGCAACATCCAGGTGAATCCCCTCTACACCCACACATCCTTCCGATAGTGGGTACTCAGATCTGCATATAACATTCCATCCGTGACGTCAGTAATGTTTTATAAAGTTATAAGGAGACTTCTTTACTTCGATACTCTACACCCTGGCTAATTAAGACAAGAATCCTGTGTGCCTTCTTCACCACCGGCCTACCTGTGCTGACACCTTCAGGGATCTATGGACTTGTACACCAAGGTCCCTTTGTTCCTTCGTGCTCCCCAGGTTCCTACCGTTCATTATGTATGTCCTTCCCTTATTAGCTCTCCCAAAATGCATCACATCACACTTATCAGGATTAAATTCCATCTGCCATTGCTCTGCCCAATGACTGTAGCCTGAGACCATCCTCCTCACTACCAATTCTTGTTCATCTGCAAACATATTAATTATACCTCTACATTCGCATTCTAGTTGTTAATGTACTTAATAAACAGTAAGAGTCCCAGCACCGATCCCTGTGGTACACCGCTGGTCACAGGCTTTCAATTACAAAAGCCCTCCATCATCACTCTTTGCCTCCTATTTGTAATCGACTTACAGTTTGCCAATTTGCCTTGGATACCATGGGCTCTCACCTTTTGGACCAGCCTTTCATATGGGATCTCGTCGAAGGCCTTACTGACATCACTGTAAACCATATCAACTGCACTATCCTCATAATATATTTCGTCACCTTTTTAAAACACTCAGTTAAATTAGTCAGACAGAACCTCCCTCTAACAAAGCCATGCTGACTAACCCTGATCAATCCCTGCCTCTCCAAGTATTGATTAATCCTGGCATTCAGACTTTTTTTCCAATAATTTCCCGACCACAGATGTCAGACTAACTGGTTTATAATTACCTGGCCTATTCTTGTTGCCCTTTTTGAACTTTTAGTTGTCCTCCAGTCATCTGCCACTTCATCCTTTGTCAGCGCAGAATTAAATATGTGCCAAGGACCCAACAATCTCCTCCCCTAGTAGCCTGGGATACATCTCATCAGGCCCTTGAAATTTATGGACCTGCATGCTAAAACATCTAATACCCCTCCTTTATTAATCTTAATGTATTCTAGAACCTCAACATCCCAAATGAAATCCCTAGCTACATTGTGAAAACATCCTGCATTATACTCAGCTCTCAAGAAGCACTTCAAGAACGCTTCCTTGCTCATTTCCCAGTGAACATTGTCCAAATCTCCTAGCCTCTCCTCAATTGACCTAATTGTCACCTATTTTCATTTGTTGTAACTTGCCCACATGGGAGCAGTTTGCTCTGAAATTCACTCGGGCGATACTGGAGGCAAAAAAACAAAGGTCAATTCTGAGGGAAGGTTTCATCACCCACTCTTTTTTAAGAAAAAAACGTAATCCTTTCATGGGATGTAGGTGTCACTGCAAAGTCCAGCATGTCTTTCACCCCTCCCCAACCTTCCACCCACCCCGTTCCTTAATAACCTTGAACTGAGTTTTGCTTGCTGGACCATTTCAGAGACCAGTTCACATTCAACTGTATTGTTGTGGGTCTGGAGTCATGTGTAGGCCAGACCATGTAAGAACGGCAAATTTCTTTCCCTAAAGGACATTAGTCAACCAGATGGGTTTTTAAATCAATAAAGATAATTTCATGGTTACTATCATGAAGATTAACGCAATGTTCCAAATTTACCACTCAAATTTAAATTCCAGCGGCCACTGCGGTGGGACATGAAACCTTGTCCCAGAACATTACCAATGGGTTACTAGTTCAGTATATCCTTGAATATAGAAGATTAAGGGATGACCTAATTGACAGGAGAGAGGGGCTCTGTGCAGAATTGTAAGGGTGGGAAAGTAGCCCATCCATCCCCATGCACAGTCCTGTCAAAGTTCATTCTCCTTGGGAGATTGGACTGGGGGGAGAGCAGAATGCAATGGATAGTCTAGTCTAGGTGGCATACAATCCAGCCCAGCCCGATCGGCAGCAATAAATAATTGGCCTTATCTTGATAGACACACGGTGGGATTTTAAATCCAGCGTCATTGCTGAAATATTGGACAAGTTATTGAGGGGGTGGTATAATGTTAGGCTTTATTTTCAAAATTATTTCCTAGAATAAACTGACCTGACATTTACACATGTCAACAGTTTGTCCTTCCGAGATAACCGCCCACAGGCACCAAAGAAAACTACAAACCGGAAGCGGCAAGACTGACCATAGAGTACCCCACACTCACACTGAGATCCACAACTGCTTTTGCCTGTCGTTGTACTAGGTGGAAATCTGCATGCACATGACCAGGTTATTTTGAAGCTGAAAGTAAACTGCTAGCACAATGAGATTTTACCAAAGGCTTTGGATGCAGTATATTAAGTTTGAAATTGCTTAGCTCCTGTGGTTGTCCCCAGTCCAAGTGGGGAAAGATTTAAAAGGGACATAAGAACATAAGAACATAAGAACTAGGAGCAGGAGTAGGCCATCTGGCCCCTCGAGCTTGCCCCGCCACTTAATAAGATCATGGCTGATCTTTTTGAGACTCAGCTCCACTTATCCGCCCACTCACCATAACCCTTAATTCCTTTACTGTGTACCTAAGGGGCAACTTTTTCACGCAGAGGGTGGTGCGTGTATGGAATGAGCTGCCAGAGGAAGTGGCGGAGGCTGGTACAATTACAAACATTTAAAAGGCATCTGGATGGATACATAAATAGGAAGGGTTTAAGATTGATATGGGCCAAATGCTGGCAAATGGGACTGGATTAATTTAGGATATCTGTCGGCATGGACAAGTTAGACTGACGGGTCTGTTTCCGTGCTGTACTTCGCTATGACTCTAAGATTTGGTCACAGAAATGGGCCCATTATTGAAGCTCAGCCAGTTGCACTCTTGTTCTGAAGTCAAATAACTGTGGATTCCAGAGCCAGTCTAGGGCTCAGAGCTCACAATCCAGGACAAGACCCCTGTGTAGTGCTGTGGGAGCACTCTATTGACAGACCAGATGACTTTCAGGTGAGGACCTCATCTGAAGGCCTGTCTGCCGTTGGATGCAGATGATGCCAACCCGTTGCTTTGATAGACTCTTAGTCCAGAGATTCAGGAATTGCTCTGGAGGCCACGGTTCAAATACCACTGCAGCATATCGTGGAATATGAAGTCAATAATAAAAAAAGAAATCTGGGATTAAAAGTCCAAAGATGACCATGAAATCATTATCAATTGTCATCTGGTTCACTGATGTTCTTTAAGGACAGAAATCTGGCATCTTTACCTGATCTGGACTACAAGTGACTCCAGACCCACAGCAATGTGGTTGATTCTTTACCACCTTCTGAAACGGCTCAGAAAGTCACACAGTTGTATCAACCCAATAAAAAGTCTCAAGAAATGGAATCAAGTCATACAGATCATCTGGCACTGGGAATGACAAAGGCAAAACAGCCCCATCAACCCTGCAAAATCCTCCTTACTGACATCTGGGAGCTTGTGCCAAAAGTGGTGGATCTGTTTCACAGACTAGTCAAGCAACAGCCTGACATAGTCATACTCATAGAATCATACTTTCAGAAAATGTTCCAGACACACCATCACCATCCCTGAATATGTCCTTTCTCACTGGCAGGACAGGACTGGCAGGGTTGGTGGCACAGTGATATATAGTTGGGAGGGAATCGCCCTGGGAGTCCTCAATGTTTAACCTCACTGAGGCAGCACACTGGAAATCAAGTCCTGCTATTCAAAGAGTCATCACAAAAGTTAAAGATTTTATTAGATCACGTAATTTCCCCAGCTTATTGGTTGTTTAGACCCAGTTGAGAGAAAACTGGACCAGGTCTCCATATTGAATAAAATGATGATTTAACACTAAAAGTAGTCGAGCTATAGATAAATAATTATGAACTGTCAACGTATTACTCTACTCGTTAGCATTCAAACCCACTTATAAAACTCCACAATACACATAGAGACAGACAAAGAAACATGGGTGTGATGGGCAGAGAGAAAGACTGGGAAGGCACATCAGGTGATCCCTGTCACAGGTTTCATTGAGTTGGTCCTTTTGGCTTGTTATCAGAATGTGCTCCTCCTTCATTGTCCTTCTCCAGATACTTCCACTTGCTTGTAAAAGGTAAAGGTCAATGGTTCACTCTTATTAACTCTCTGGTTTACTCATTAATTGCTACACTTGCAGCAACTACTGATGAAAAACTACTGGACTTTCTTCAGGATTAAGGTACTTTTTACTGCAGAGAATAGAGACAGCTCCTGCCCTTCTCTCGAACATTCACACCCACAAGCTCTCCGGCTCCCTGGGACCCAAACACATGGCTGTTGGCAAGCAGAATGCCTTTGTCATTGACAACTGGTCACCAGTACTTGTTGCTGGCCAAAGCTTCATTTGTACACACCCCTTGGCTCCAGCTTGTCTACAAACCAGGCATTCCACCACTGCTGGAACAAACAGCTACATAAATAGTATTTACAAATGAATGTCACGTTATTTGCTTCAAATGATTGAGCTGATTGGATCCTGAAGTTGCTGGACTGGGTCTGCAGCATGTGGTGAGGGAACCAACAAGAGGAAAGAACATATTTGACCTCATCCTTATCAATCTGCCATGACGGTATTGTTGAGAGTGACCACCGCTCAGTCCTTGTGCAGATGAAGTCCCACCTTCGCATTGAGAATACCCTCCATTGTGCTGTGTGTTGCTATCACCATGCTAAATTGGACAGAATTGGAATAAATCTAGCGGCTCAAGACTGGGCAATCATGAGGTGCTGTGGGCCATTAGCAGCAGCAGAATTGTACTCCAGCACAATCAGCAACCTCATGGCCTGGCCACTCAACCATTACCAGGAAAGCATGCCAGGAGCAGCACCAGGCATACCTATAAATGAGGTGTCAACCTAGTGACGCTACCAGACAGGACTACTTGCGTGCCAAACAGCACAAGCGGCAAGTGATAGACAGAGTTAAGCGATCCTGCAACCAACAGATCAAATCTAAGCACTGCAGTCCTGCCACAACCTGTTGTGAATGGTGGTGGACAATTAAACAACTGACTGGAGGAGGAGGATCCACAAATATCCCCATCCTCAACGACATCAGTGTAAAAATAAGGAAAAAGTGTTTGCAACAATCTTAGTCATAAGTGCCAAGTGGATGATCTATCTCGGCCTCTTCTGGAGGTCCCCAGCATCATAGATGCCAGTCTTCAGCCAATCTGATTCACTCCACATGATATCCAGAAATAATTGGAGACACTGGGTACCGTGAAGGCTCAGATAACGTTACAGCAATTGTATTCAAGGCTTATGCTCTGGAACTTGCCACTCCCATAGCCAAGCTCTTCCAGTACAGTTACAACAGTGGCATCTAACCAACAATGTAGAAAATTGCCCAGGTATGTTCCTCAAAGCAGGACAAATCTACCCGGCCAATTACTCTCCCATCAGTCCACTCTTGATCATCAGCAAAGTGACGGAAGGTGTCATCGTCAGCACTGCTCAGCAATAACCCACTTTTTTGGCCCGAATTAAAGAGCAAAATTCCAGATGTGAGGTGAGAGTAGTGATGCTTGACACTAAGGCTGTGTATATGGTATCAAGGAGCCTGAGCAAAACCGAAGTCAGTGGGAATCGTGGAAAACTCTCCGCTGGTTGGAGTCATTCCTGCCACATCGGAAGATGGCTGTGGTTGTTTGAGGTCAGTCATCTCAGCTCCATAACATCTCTACAGGAGTTTCTCAGGGTGGTGTCCTAGACCCAACCATCTGCAACTGCTTCATCAATGACCTTCCCTCCATCGTAAGATCAGAAGTGAGGATGTTCGCCGATGATTGCAGAGCCATCTGATATCTGACTCCTCAGATATTGAAGCAGTCGGGTTCAAAGGCAGCATGACCTGAACAATATCCATGCTTGGGCTGCTAAGGGCGAGTAACATTCGCGCCACACAAATGCCAGACAATAACCATCTCCAATAAGAGGCAATCTAACAAACACCCTTTGACCTCCAGTGACATCACTGAACCCCAAACTCTCAACATCTAGGAATTACCATTGACTAGGAACTGAACTGGGTACGCCATTGAAATACAATGGCTACAAGAGCAGGTCAATGGCAAATAACTCACCTTCTGATTCTACAAAGATTTGTCCAAGACACAAGTCAGGAGTGTGAACAGCTGCAAAACTTCACTCCATTCACTGCCGATTTTAGTTGCAGCAGTATATATGCTATCTCAAGGTGCACTGCAAAAATTCACCAAAGATCCTTAGATGGCACCTTCTAGTTCCATCTAGAAGGACAAGGGCAGCAGATGCATGGAACACCACCAACCTTCAAAGCCATTCACCATCCTGACTTGGAAATATATCGCCAATCTTTAACTATCGCTGGGTCAAAATCCTGGAATTCCCTCCGTAATGGCATTGTGGGTCTACCTACAGTACATAGGCTGCAACGGTTCAAGAAGGCCACTCACTACCACCTTCTCAGGGGCAACCAAGCATGGGCAATAAATACTGGCCCAGCCAGTGATAATCACATCTTATATTTAAATAAATTTTAAAAATAGAACTGGGGCATTCTCTGCAGTCTCCCACCCCGTTCTGATGCTTCAATATAATCACTACAACAGATCATACAGTCATTATCACATTGCTGAATGTGCAAGCTTGCTGCATTTAAACTGACAGCTGTGTTTACTGACATTCCAACACTTCAAAAGTAACATATTGGCTGTGGATATCCCAGCGTGGTGAAAAGCACTGAATAAAGGAATGTTCTTTCTTTAATTGCATCACATTAGAAGGAAGCTGTAAGAGAAATGTCATTTTCAAAGTAACATTGGCTCTGGTTCAGAACTCACTTACCTGAATGACCAGCTAGTTGAATCCATGAATATCGCTTCTTGAAGGGGAAGGATGAGAAGTGGACTATTGATTTTGCCTTCCTCCAGGGTTTGTTCTGTAAAAAAAAAAGGGAGAAATTGAGGCCTCTCCCTTGTCAGACATCTCAAGTTTCGATTAAAGCACCGTTCACACAGCAATACTGCTAGGTTGGATCGCATGCAGGATGCATTGAAGAGAGGGACAAAATAAAGGTGAGGAAACAGTGGGACAGACAATGGGTAACATTCAGTCTCCAGTTACAATACCCTTTCATCCACCACAACAGAAAATGTCAATGTAAACAGAAGATTCAACCTTCTGGGATGAAAGAACTGCCTTAAGTACAGAGATTGAGCAGGTTGGACCAATACTCATTGGTGTTTAAAAGCACCTTATTGAAATGCTGAAGATTTTTGAAGGACTTGACAGGAAAGAACTTGATAGGGTATTTTCCCTCAGAGTAAAAACTATAAGTAATACAAAGTCACCATTGTGCAAAAGGACTGCTCTCACTGGAGAGAAAGATAATTGGTGGTGGTTTAACTGGAGGAAGACCACGCATCCAGCGAGGGGCAAGGTTGAGATGGCAGGACCTTCAATAGTGATCTCAGTCGATGCAGGATTGAACCCACACTGTTGGCAGCACTCTGCATCCCAAACCAGCCAATATTGTTTAAGGATACAGGATCACCCATTGATAAGTCGGTGATGAGGAAGAATTTCTTTTCTCCGATTGTCATGAGTCTTTACCTAGGGCATGGTGGAGGCTGGGTCATTGAATTTGGTCAAAGCTGAAACAAGTTCTTGAACGAATCAAACTCAATGAGGAAAAGGCAGGAAATAAGTGTGAGTCAAACTCAGATAAATGTGAGGTGGTACCTTGCATCAGGAAGAATTTGGAGGTTACTTAATTACAATGAGGTTGCAAGTCTCGGTGGGGTACAGTGACACAGTGATCAGAATACGAACACAACAACAATCACTAAATGTTGAGGCTATAAACAAAGCAAACCTAGCGCTAGGTTTATTTCTGAAGGGATAGGATTGAAAAGTAGGGATGTTAAGGGGAGGGGGAGCAACAGTGACAGTGACATAGTGCTTATAAGACTGAACTGACAATCCAGATGCACAGGCTCAAGCTCCAGGGGAGCTGATGGAATTTAAATTCAATTCATGACATTTGGAATTATAAAGCAGTGCTCAGTGATGGTGACCATGGCAACAATCATCAGTTATTATTAAAAACCTATCTGGTTCATTGATATCCTTTTGGGATGGAAATCTGTCATCCATACCTGGTCTGACCGACATGTGACTCCAAATCCATATAAATGGGGTTGACTCTAAACTGCCATCTGAGATAAGCTAGTAAACAATTAGGTTTCAAGGCCGATTACAGATGGGCTGCAAATGCTGGCCTTGCCAGTGATGCCCACATCTCATGAAAGGATAAATTAAGGGAAGACCTCTTGCAGTCACTTGTCTGCAGTCCTGCTCCGCAGATCACAGAAAGAACATGAAGGCAAGAGGGAACAGAGACAATTTTCAAGGATGATTCAGAATGACCAGGTACAAATACCAAGAAAGATTTCACAGGCCAGCCTCTTTACTCTTGGGAATGATGTTGGGTCGGGGCGTTGGGGAAGAGCTGAAGGGCGACCTAACAGAGATTTTCAAAATGATGGTAGTTTGAAAGTTTTGACAGTGTCATACAAAGAGAACATAGAACATAGAACATAACAGCGCAGTACAGGCCCTTCGGCCCTCGATGTTGCGCCGACCTGTGAAACCAATCTGAAGCCCATCTAACCTACACTATTCCATTATCATCCATATGTTTATCCAATGACCATTTAAATGCCCTTAAAGTTGGCGAGTCTACTACTGTTGCAATTTTTCCTCATTTGGGGATTAGTACTAGTAGAAGCGTTCAATATAATATAGTCACCAAGAAATCCAAGAGGGAATTCAGAAGAAAATCGGAGAGTAGTGACAATGTGGAACTCCACCACCAGTGGGAGTGGATGAAGTGAATACTGGGAGTGCATTGGACTTACAGCACTGAAATAGGCCATTCAGCCCAACCAGTCTATGACAGTGCTTATGTTTCACTTGAGCTTTCTCCTATCTTTTCTCAACAAAATTAATCATTCTCCTTTGTCCGCTCCCCCACTCACCCTTGTCTAGCTTCGCCTGACATAAATTAATACTATTCAGAACACCAGCCCGTGCGGTGTTGAGTTCCACACTCTCATCACTCTCTGAGGCAAGGCACTTCCCCACCAGTTTGATTTCTTAAGTTGATTATACATTGAGAGCCTCTGGTTACCCATTCACAAAGGAGAAGTGGCTTTACAAAGGCCATTTCATCCCAAGTCGTTTCAGTTGTACAGCCCCATTCAATAAGCAGGTTCAAGGGAAAACTGGATAGATATAGGAGGGATAAGGAAGCAAAGGAGTAAAAGATTGCGATGGCATATTTAGATACCAGGTGAACTATCATCTTATTGAATGGTGAAGGAGACTTGAGGTGGCATATGGCCTTCACCTGTTCCTTACACTGAAGATGAGTCATATTTGACTTGAAATGTTACCTGTTTCTCTGCACAGAGGCTTGTCAGAGCTGCTGTGAGTTATACCAGCACTTTCTGTTTCTACAAAGGGGGCGTTGCTAAAACAATGTCATGGGACAGTAGTGAAAAATCGAGCTTTTGTCTGAGATTCTACTCTGCACTGTTTGTGATCAAGACATCATTGTAAAGCAAATATCACAGATAGGAATTTCAGTGTGAATGTGCTCACTCTGTGTGGGCAAGTGTTCCCATCTGTCACTTTTAGGGGCTATAATGCATAGAATCGTTAAAAAAAAATGGGGCGTGGGGTGTTGATTGTGAGATTAGCACAGCCATTAATGATTCACAATTTAAAATTGAATGTTGCATATTTACATCCAGCTGCATTAGCGGTTTTACAAGTTTAGTCAGACACTGAGGCAGTAGTTGCAGTACATGCTTCTGTGCGACCCAAGGTTTGAGCTGTCAGTTTGTTTTTCTCTGCTACAACTTCCTCCAGACATTTTAAATGCAAATGCTGCGGTACCTCCGTTGCTGAACTCCATAAATGTCACTCCATTCAAAACAGGAACTCGCTGCACGACTGTTTCAGAACTAAACAGAAAAGGTCATGTGAGTTTTAGTTGTGAAAGAGCTGGCTGACAAGGTGCACATGCGTCTCCAGCAGAGCTCTGTGTTCTCTCATGGACAGCTGCAGGAGGAACAACAATAGAGGCAATTTTGTTTTTGTCCCATTGTACAATACAAGCAGCAGCATCTCAGTGCTTATAGTAGGTAAAGATAGCCATCAAACTGCATTAAACAAGCAGCTCACGTCTAACTGAACCTACAGGAAGGAACACCATCAGTTACATGCTAAACAATCCTTGCCATGCTGAATGAATACCAACATTACCATTACATACTGAACCATCTTTACTGAATAAATAGCAACTGTACACAGTTGCACAGAATATAGTCCTTAGAATGCTAAATAAGCATCAGCCTTATAAAGTTAGGTTTCAAAGTGCTGTTGTTGATTCTGAACTCATGTTCTCTGGATTATTAGTCTGAGCATTTCCTCAAATAGAATTGAAATATATATGGTAGGAAGAAGCCACCTTTTGGTAGTTATTAGCAGACAAATTAGTAGCAGGATTATATCACTTAGCCCATTGAACCTGCTCTGTCATTCAACTGGATCATGGTTCATCTGATTACTCCGCATTCCTGACAAACTTTCCCCTGTTTATTTATCAAGACCCCTGCTTTAAAAATATTCAAGAAATCCGTTTCCTCTGTTTTTTGAGGAAAAGATTTGCAAACACTCAGAGTGAAAACCCCGGATGGACAGGTGTGAAAGCGTTCAAGGTTTACTAAGATCTGTTGGTTTTTAATCGGGATTCAGACCGGAGGCGATTATAATACCAGAGATAGTAGGAACTGCAGATGCTGTTTAAACTGCAGTTTAAGTATAAGGGTAATGCTTTGATAACAAGGTGTAGAGCTGGATGAACACAGCAGGCCAAGCAGCATCAGAGGAGCAGGAAGGCTGACGTTTCAGACCCAATACTGGTCATTTTGTTGACCAGAAATCTGGTGCCAGTAGTTTTCAGGACTTTTCAGCATGGACTCAGGATTACTCTGTACTAAACTCCCAACAGAAATCCCCTCCTCTGGCTGAAATGGGCAGCACTTGATTTTAAACAGCGACCCTTACTTATAAATTCTCCTGCAAGAGGAAACATCATCTCCACATATTGCGCTATGCAGGGCTAATAATATACTTCATTGAGTCTTGTTAGGGCTCTTGCTTGCCTTGTCAGTGACCACTCATTGTTTAATCAGTCCACGCTGACATAGTTTGCAGAGTAGGTATCACCAGTGATGCCCTCTGCAGTAGAACAGCTGGTGAATGTTAACCATGTATCCCCACATCAATTGGACAAGTTCTCTGAAGCTGACACCTGTAACACTGCAACCTAGCAGAAGTCAAGGGCGGGGTTGGCATTGGAAAATGGTGAGAACGGTAGAAAAGTTATCTTATTTGTGAAGCAGCAGATGCCTTCACCCTGCCACTCACCTGAGTCCAGCCTGCGTGTAACCACTGCACCCAGAATGGCTGTGATGCTACAGTTTCCACATGACTCTGCTGTGCTTCCTTTGAAAACATTTTCCCGGTACAGCAACTCATCCCATTCTTATGGTTATCTGTGAAACAATGTGCTCTGCACACTGGCACCAAGGCAGGTGGGCTGAAACACTGTTGCCTCTAAATATTTAATCATTGGCTCTGGCTTTGTAAGCAAATTCCCTCCATGGTATCTTGTAAATTTGTTCACGGGATGTAGATGAGGCTGGCTAGGCCACCATTATTGCCTGGCCCTTGTTGTCCTACAGAAGGCGGTGGTGAGCGGTCTCCGTGAGCCACTGCAGTACATTCTCAGCGATGTTCAGAAGGAAGGATTTTGACCCAGCGACAACGAAGAAGCACCAATATATTTCCGAGACAAGATGGTGTGAA